CCCCTCAGTCTCTCCTCTCCCTGGGCCTTAGCCTTCTTTCCTCCAAGGTAACTGTTGGTTTCTTGCTGCTGCTGCCTCCCTCACTCTGCACCCCCGACTCCTGTGCAGAGTGGTGCCCCCTGGACAGGGTTTCCGAGATGGCTATGCAGGCATCTTCCACTTCCAGGTAAAGCTCGTTTTCTCTGTCTATGCCTCAGTTTCCCCCAGGGGACATGGATTTCATAGTTGCCATTGTTCCCTTGGGGCTGGAATTTTGCACAGGTACAGCAAGGTCAGGGGTCAGAGGTTGGGCCCAGGAGGGGTTGGAGGTTGGAAGCTGAGCGGGGGGCCTGCCCTTTCCCCACCAGCTCTGGCAGTTTGGCTGCTGGGTGGACGTCGTGGTGGATGACAGGCTGCCTGTGCGTGAGGGGAAGCTGATGTTTGTGCGCTCAGAGCAACGGAACGAGTTCTGGGCCCCCCTTCTGGAAAAGGCCTATGCTAAGTAAGGACCCCAACCCCTCGCCCCAGCTTCAACCCCAAGTCCCAGCCAGCAGAGCCCAACCACATGGGACCCCCTGGATCCCCTCAACTTCTGGGATCTTCTAGACACCTAGCTAAGGATCCCAAACCAAGTCACAGCCCCTGGTACCCTAATGTCATACCATCCCCTGAGGCCCTCCAAATTGTAAACACCTTCCTCCACCAACAGGTCACACAAAACATTCTTAGAGACCCAGCAAGCACCAGAATTCTTAAAGAGCCTGAAGTCTCTTATCAGGTCCTGGAGTCACCAAGTCTAAGACTTATCCCCTTGGGGGACCTGTACTCTCAGACAATCTCTCCTGATCCACTGAGAAACCCAAAGCACTCCCCAAAATATTGGGTGTAAGACCTGGGACCCTCAAATCTTTGCTTTTCCCCATCCTGTGGATCTGAAATCCTCGACAAGCCCCATGAGGACCTCAACCTCCCAGAGACTCCAAGTTTCAGACACAGCCCTCAGGGTGCCCAGAATTCTGACAGAGCTCTCTGGAGACCCCCAAATCACGAAGTCCTGGTGGCCCAGGAACCAAAGGCTTCCAGAGTGTGCCACAGTCCCCCACCTCAAGAGTCTGCAAATTTCAGGAATAGCCCCCGGGACCGCACACCCTGGGACAGAGGTCCCCAGATCCTGAAATGCTTGTACATGCCACGGACACCCCTATCTCAGACCTGCTCCCACAGGCTCCACGGTTCCTATGAGGCGATGCGAGGTGGCCACATGAACGAGGCTTTCGTGGACTTCACAGGCGGTGTGGGGGAGGTGCTCTACCTGAGGCAAGACGTCCCAGGCCTCTTCTCCGCCCTGCGCCACGCCCTGGCCAAGGAGTCCCTCGTGGGTGCCACTGCCCTGGTGAGAGAGTCGGATTCCCATGGAGAACCCCCCAGGACCAGTGTACAGGGAGGAGGAAGCATCCTGTGTCCTCCTGCCTTTTACTGTTGGCTTAGCCTTTCTCACAAATCAAACACGAGCAAGTTAAAAGGATATTTATTTGCTCTCATAACTAATGAGCTTCAGGCACAGCTGGATCAAGGTGTTTAGCAGAACTTATGAATGTTTTTCTACTCCTGGTTCCGGGTTAGCTTCACTCTCAGGCAGGCTTTCCCTTCATGGGCACAAAAGAGGCCCCCACAGTTACCTCCCACCACCCCAGGGGTAAAAAGAAAAGTACCTCTTTCTGAGAATGCCAGGAAAAAGCCCAGGATTGATTTTAATGGGCTCAGCTTGGGTCCTATGTTCATCTGTGACCCAATTACACAGTCACTCACTCACTGAGTCAGTCTAACATTCACTCATCCATGTACTTAACCCTGCACGCACTCACTCACTCACTTTGTCTTTTGTGTTTCTTGGCCTCCTGCCCCTGCCTGTTCTGTATCTTTGTCTCTAGGTCTCTGTCCCTCTCCTCTTTCCATCTATTTCTGTCTCTTGTCTCCATCTCCCTCTCTCTGTTTCCTCTCTCGCCTTCATTCACCAACTCCCATCCCCTCTCGGAGCCCTGTGTCATTCAGTTGGGTGCCCTGGTTGACTTTGCTTTGGTGGCAGGAGGTCGTGGGATTGAGAGGAGCAGCCACCCAAACCCCTCCCCCTGCCTGCAACTCCAAGTCCCAGCCAGCAGACCCCAGTCACATGGGACCTCCAGAGGGAACAAGGAGCAGAGAAGGCACAGATCAGAGGGAGGGGTCCTGTCCCTCAACGTGGCCTCACCATCCTGTCCTCTGCCCAGAGTGATCGGGGCGAGTACCGTACAGAAGATGGGCTGGTGAAGGGACATGCCTATTCAGTCACGGGGACGCACAAGGTGAGCAACCCCCTGGGTGGGCTGGCAGGGGGTGTCCAGGCCCTAACTCCCACTGATGACGCTACCCTCAGGTGTCACTGGGCTTCACCAAGGTGCAGCTGCTGCGGCTGCGGAACCCATGGGGCCGTGTGGAGTGGACCGGGGCCTGGAGCGACAGGTGGGATGGATCTGGGGGGGGAGGGGCTTCGTCCCACCTGCCCAGCCTTCACACCCCGGTCTCCCCAGTTGCCCGCGCTGGGACGCGCTCCCCACTGAGTGGCGAGATGCCCTGCTGGTGAGGAAGGAGGACGGTGAGTTTTGGTGAGTAGGAGAGGCCCCCACCCTGCCCCAGGGAAGGGTGCCACCTGCTGGGGCTCAGGGAGGGGGCAAGTCCTGCTTGAAGGGAAAAGGCAGAAGTTCATGGGGATGGGTCCTAATGGGGAGAAACTGTCCACATGAGCACTAATTTGTGGTGGGCTTCTATCTGAGGGAGTTGAAGAATTAGTAATAATTTTAGGGGGACTGGGAACATAGTAATCTCTGGGAGGTTGAAGGGGGATGGATAATATTTAGGGCAATTGAGGGGCTTGGTGACACGGGGCATTTCTTGAGATTTGGCAATATTGAAGGGCTGAAGGACATTTGTTGGTAATTGACAATGTTTGAGGGGAGTTTGAGGATCTTGGCTATTTGTGGGGCATTCCTGAGGATGTAGAGAAATCTGGGGGACCTGGAGGGCTCAGGGATTTGGGGGTCATTCTGGAAACATATTATTTGGTGGACAGAAGGGAACTTGACAATAGTTGAGGAATTTGGCGTCCTTGTGATTGGGGGCTGGGCCGGGTCTGACTGCGGTCCACTGTCCAGGATGGAGCTGCAGGACTTCCTCCGACACTTCACCACAGTCCAGATCTGCTCACTGAGCCCCGAGGTGCTGGGCCCCAGCCCGGCCGGAGGGGGCTGGCACACCCATATCTTCCAAGGCCGCTGGGTGCGAGGCTTCAACTCCGGCGGGAGCCAGCCTGCTGCCGGTGAGGTCTGGAGGGGACCCTGAGAGGCAATCACGGGGGCTGTAGCAGGCCGGTAACCCCATTTCTTTCTCCGCTTCTAGAAACCTTCTGGACCAACCCCCAGTTCCGGCTGACGCTGCTGGAGCCCGACGAGGAGGATGAAGATGAAGACTGGCCCTGGGGGGGCTGCAGGGCTGCAGGGGCTCGACGCCCTGCCCGAGGGCGCCGAGTCCCCAAGTGCACTGTCCTCCTGTCACTCATCCAGCGCAACCGGCGGAGCCTCAGGGCCCAGGGCCTCACGTACCTCACTGTGTGCTTCCACGTGTTCCAGGTGGGACCCCTGGGCTGCAGAGAGGTGGCAGGGAGCAGGGAGACATGGAGGGGCAGGGGGCCAAGGGAGGATCGGAGAAGGCCAAGAGGGGCCGGGGAGGCTAAGGGCAGGGGCAGAGAGAGAGATTGGGCTCTAGCGCATGCTAAGGCAATCAGAGAATCAGAGGGGAGTCAGGGAGAGACTGAGGGGCTAGGAGGGCAGAGAGAGGGTGGGGGTCAGAAGGGTCAGGAGGGAGTCAGAGAAAGGGGTGCGGGGGCTGAGGATCAGGGAGGGGCAAGGAGCAGAGAAGGCAGATAAGAGGGAGGGATCCAGGAGGGGTCAGAGAGGGCCTTGGACAGGGACTGAGGGCCAGGGGCTTAATGAGAGTGGAATGGGAAGAAAAGAGAGGGAGGGGTATGGAGGAGGCAGGGAGGGAATTTTGAGGGTCCCCCCCACCCGCAGCCTGACTCCCCTTGCTCTTCTTACAGATCCCAGAGGAGGTGGGTTTCCGATGGGACCCCAGATCCCAAACTCTATCCCCAAACTAGCCCTGAAGCCTCAGACAACCTGCAGTGGGACCAGGGTGGCCTGGGCGCTTGGCGTGACGGGCGGACGAGCGGGTTTTCTCGGGGCGTTCGGGAGGGCCCGGCGGGGGGCTTGGCCCGCCCTGCTCACGCCGCCCGGCCCGCAGCTGCTGGGCCTGTGGGACTCCTCGCAGAGTCGCGCGCTCCTGCGGGGCCTGCTGCGCGCCGACCGCTCGCCCCTAAGCGCCCGTCGCGACGTGAGCCGCCGCTGCCGCCTGTGCCCCGGCCACTACCTGGTGGTGCCCAGCGCCGCCCGCGAGGGCGAGGAGGCCGACTTCACACTGCGCATCTTCTCCGAGCGCCGCCACACCGCCGTGTGAGCCCAGGCCCCAGATCCGCCCTCGGGATCTCTGGCCCTGCTAGCCTGGGGGAGGGGGACCCTGACTCATCTCCGGAATCCGTGGCCCCGGTGGATCAGTACAGGGCCCCAGGATCCTGCCTACACCCCACCCATCCCTCAGCTGAGACCCCGTTCGCCCCAGTCCCCAGGAGCGGGGTGAGCAGCCCCTCCCCCACTTCCGGTCTGTAATTTGCAGGGAGATCGATGACGTGATCAGCGCCGATCTGCACGCTCTGGCGGTGAGGGGCTGCCCCAGGAGGGGGCACGACGGGGTGGGGGTGGGGACCC